ATATATATATATATATATATATATATAGTGTGTGTGTGTGTGTGTGTGTGTGTGTGTGTGTGTGTGTGTGTGTGTAAATTCATATGTCAAGTAGTTAAATGAGAAGATGACAAGAACCAGAACCAGATTGAACCCCATATATTGCTAAAATATTTTTCAAAGGATGAGCAGTATAATGTTTGTTTGATGGTAAAGTGCTTCTCTCTGTCACCTCTGCATCTGTGTGTTTGTGTTGTGCTGGATTTTATAAGCCGGATCATTTCTGCATGTATCAAGTGCAAACTGCTTCAGGAATTTTGTGCAGGAACAGGTTTATCCTCTTAAAGATTGTATATTATTAGTTTTTTAGGGCTTTAATATTTTTTAATCAGAATTTTCTTTCCCCTTTTTTTAGGAGAATGGCATCAACGACTTCTTTAAGCCCACAGTATTTAATGGGGAAAACCAGATGTACTGTGACGAGTGCGACGAAAAAGTTGATGCCCTTAGAGTTAGTAAAGTTAAAGTTCCGGATTTTATTGAATTCTGATGAAGGGTTAAAACATAACATTTTCAAACATGACTGCATATTTTGTTCTCCAGCAATATGTTATAACACATCACCCAGATGTTCTGCTTCTGCTGCTGAAGAGATTTGACTTCAGCTATCAGTACATGTCATATGTGAAAATCAACTGTAGTGTGGACTTTCCCTATAAAATAAAGATACCAGAGGTATATTTTGGGTATTCTCTTTTTGGCATTGATCATGAACTTTGTATACCATTTACTGAATTGAATATTTCTCTATATGTTCTATAGAAACAGATATATGAGCTCTATTCAGTTGTGGAGCATTTTGGTGACCTGAGAAGCGGACATTACTGGGCAACAATAAAATCCCAGGAGGAAGAAAACCTGTGGTACACATTTAATGACACCAATGTCTCGCAGGTAAAAGAAATCACAATTTGCTGCACTAAAAAAATACTTAAAATTACCTCTTTCTAAAGTAATATGTCAAAGTAAAATAATTAAGATATAATGTGCTGAGTTTTTTTTGTCCATGTATCAGGTTGTGCCCAACAAATGTCCAGGAAATGACAACATTGCAAGGTAAACATTTAAGTTTGCATTCTATCAGTCTGTATATATGTATATGTTGCATACACATGGTATATCACATTTCTCTCCACTCATCCTTCTGTAGATCCTCCAGTGCGTATCTTCTATTTTACAGAAAGAAAGGTGAGAATTAATCCATCATTGTTCAGACATGTTCTGCTGTACTATCTATTGTACTAACTATTCAATTATCTGCTTTATTATGAAAATTCAGGCACTGAAGAGAAGGTGGAGAACAGTATTTTTCAACCACCTGGGATGGAAACCAATATTAACAAACACGAGACAGTCAAATCAAATGCAACCAGAAGTACCACTGACAAAGATTTTGCAGTGTCAAAGGTTAGCTCCACACAAACAGATAATTTACCTGATCCAACTGGTAACATCTCTGAGGACAATGGGAATATTATGGTGTATCAACACGAGGAACACGATACAGAGAATAACCTGCCGGAACATAAAGACAGAAATCGTGGAACAACAGACCAAGCTTCACATGAGAGAAAGAAACAGAACACAGCTCATTTTCAACCTGAACAAAGTCAAAATCTTGTTATGCCTGTTGATGACATGAATATTTCACAGAGACCATATGAAGAAAACATTGGTAAGAACAAAAATATAAATGGTACAGAAAAACATCAGACAGAAAACAGTCATGTTGAGTGTACAACAGTAAGAAATCCAAATACTGCTGAGCAGGGAGAATATTTTCTTCCTCCTAATTACCAGATTCAACAAAATAAAGACAAAAACACAAACAAGTCTATAAATATACAGGCCAGCAGTAATGGTGTTGTTAAACCTGATGAGAGAAAAACAGATCCTACATATAACCAACCTGAGACCACACATGCAAACCTAAATAAGAATAAACAGACAAGAGAGAGAGAGGAACATATAAATCAACCGCTTAGTGTTGCATCTGATCATGTTCCACAAAGCAATCAGGGGAGGAAGAGTAAACAAACTGATTTGAAAGATCAAGCCCTAGCTGCTGAGCATCTCCAAATGTCAGATAAGAGGAGTAGGAAAACAACATCTAAAGCAAAGGAAGAAAACCAAGTTGATGCTACTGAAGCTGGTTGTCAACCTAAACAGGATCATATAGATTGTAGCAGCATCAACAAAGGTCAAACACAGAATAATGGAAACACCAACGGAGACTATAATAGTGGTGTTATACAGGCAAGAAAAACACAACCAATGATACAGTCTACCCGAGATAAATGTGCACTGGATAAGAAGAGAAACACCAAAGAATATGATGGTACAATGAAAGAAGATGGTTTAAAGACCCACGCCAAAGGTCAGGAAAGTAATGAAGATACTGATGATTCTCCTAGACAATCTGGATCAAGGAACGAGGAGAGACAGGCAGGGAAACAGGTAGCTGAAGGGAATGCAGAAATAAGTATAGCAAACACAAGTAAAGGACCAAAGGGTAATCGTAAAATTATATTCAAAATAATAGAGGAAAAGACTGAGACCATTATTAGTTACAAAGGGATCAGCAGGGAAACAAGTGTGAAGGAAATCTCACAAGGCATCATTACAAAGAAGGAAGAAAACAGTGTGGGGCACCAAATAAATGAAGAACAAGGACAACTCATGGTGGATGAAAATCAAAAACACACAACCAGACTGGCCAAAAAGTTTAAAATGTTTCAAGTAGAAACTTCTTTGCTGAAAAAAATCCCCGATGCAGAGCTTGATGCTGCTGGAAAACTTCTAAGATCAAAAAAAAGAAATAGGTTTAAACGCATGTGGTTGGGTAACCCAGCTAAAAAGACGCAGCTAAGAAGGAAGGGAATTATGAAGAAGAAGAAAAGAAGAAAAGAATAAATATTCTTTGTTTACCCATTTCAAAAAAAAAAAAAAAAGGAGATCAGTTTTAAGATTGAGCATAAAATAAATCTGGTGAGCCTTCTACTGTACACATCAGCATGAATCAGTAGAGCCCTGCTGATGGAACAGCTCTGAGGTTTCACACCTTTACCTTAAATACGGCTCTTAGATCATCTTATATTTTCCCTTAAAAAGTGAGACAAAATCAAAATGTTAATACAAAAGCTGGTTTACTCACTCTGTTTATAACGGATAGAGCATGTATTTTATCTCAAGAAAACAGAAA